TACTTGTGGCAGTTCTTGATGCTCTGTGAAGTCCACTTTCCATACCAATTGCTCTACAACTCGATTGTCTGGAGTCGCTGGATCTATCTCAAAATCGTTCATAGAGCCGTTTTATCCTCATTTGTATTTTTATATGTATTCCCCGTTTACAATCTGAAGCAGAACTTGTCGGATATATAACACTTGTTTACCATTATTTGTATTTCGCCACCTTCCATACTTCTTTCTTCCAGTGTTGAATAAGACTAGGCCGATCTCCTGAGGTAACGGAATGAAGCTTCCGGATGATAGAATCCACCCACGTGTGGCGAATCGTCACAGATCTACTGGTGCCAAAAATATGCCTACTCAAGGCAAATTGGCACACACTCGTCGAGTGGAAAAAGTGTCATACTTGATAGAGTCAGAAGCCGAAAGGGGCTGAATAGCCTAAAGAGTATAACAAAAGAATGAAAAACGAGAGCTCACTTATCCTTGCAAGCCTACTACTTATTATATATAAGAACGGCCATAAAAGTAAGTATGGTGATGGCTTGCTTGCTGTTATGCCACACCGACACAAAGCCAAATGGAACGTGGAAATGCGGATAAAATTGTTGGCGGGGATATCCCGCATGGAAACAGGTCCCCAAGAGTTGAACAATGATTTATCACGGGTGAAAAAACATGTACTTGACATGTCCCGTAGGATGGTTGGAGTAAAAATTATAAATTGTAGGATCCTCGAACAAGTAAATTGTTATTTCAAGCGTTCACCGAGTTGGTGTTACGAATATCCGTATTAATTCCCTTACACTTTCTCAATAACCACTTTCATCCTACTTTCAACCTCTCCTTCTTTTGACCACTTTTACCGACCGAACTCTCCGAAAACCTGACTTGGAACGGGTCTGGAAAATTTAGAAATAATATCTTCCATTTGGTATTATGTTATCATTGAGATCACAGTGTACTAAATGATCAGTCCAAGTAGTTGGATTGTAACTTGCACTCACGAGAAGTACACATATACTATTATTTCCACAGCCCATGTCTGCGTAAGTAGTCAACCAGTCCTTGAAGAAACGTCTGTAAACGAAGCTTAATGATTGGAGGGTCAAGCTTGGATTACACGTTGTGTGATTGGATTGCGACACGCAACCTCAATTTAACGGACTGTGATTCACATTGAAATGAACCTTAGTCACTGCGATCGCTGGGACCGTATTCAAAGTAGATGGAAATTGGGTATTGCCCACCCGAAAACACTGCACAACCACGACGCGTTTCGATGTAATTTTCATCTCATCAGGTGGAGACAGCAGGATTTGAACCCACGACCATTGGAATAGCAGCCAACACTACTACCCCTTTGGCTACCGCGTCACGATGGGCAACGCTTTTTGTCACAACGGTTGATGACTAATTGGAGGGTCAAGTTTGGATTACACGTTGTGTGATTGGATTGCGACACGCAACCTCAATTTAATGGACTGTGATTCACATTGAAATGAACCTTAGTCACTGCGATCGCTGGGACCGTATTCAAAGTAGATGGAAATTGGGTATTGCCCACCCGAAAACACTGCACAGCCATCTACCGTTGTGACAAAAAGCGTTGCCTATCGTGACCCGGTAGCCAAAGGGGTAGTAGTGTTGGCTGCTATTCCAATGGTCGTGGGTTCAAATCCTGCTGTCTCCACCTGATGAGATGAAAATTACATCGAAACGCGTCGTGGCTGTGCAGTGTTTTCGGGTGGGCAATACCCAATTTCCATCTACTTTGAATACGGTCCCAGCGATCGCAGTGACTAAGGTTCATTTCAATGTGAATCACAGTCCATTAAATTGAGGTTGCGTGTCGCAATCCAATCACACAACGTGTAATCCAAACTTGACCCTCCAATTAGTCATCTACCGTTGTGACAAAAAGCGTTGCCCATCGTGACGCGGTAGCCAAAGGGGTAGTAGTGTTGGCTGCTATTCCAATGGTCGTGGGTTCAAATCCTGCTGTCTCCACCTGATGAGATGAAAATTACATCGAAACGCGTCGTGGCTGTGCAGTGTTTTCGGGTGAGCAATACCCAATTTCCATCTACTTTGAATACGGTCCCAGCGATCGCAGTGACTAAGGTTCATTTCAATGTGAATCACAGTCCATTAAATTGAGGTTGCTTGTCGCAATCCAATCACACAACGTGTAATCCAAACTTGACCCTCCAATTAGAAAGGTTTCTGTACAACTCTAACGAATTACGAAAAATCAAAAACATTTAGTTGTGAATCATCAGCAGTTGTGTTTGGTCCGTTAATCGTTTATCCTTGTTCGGTTAGGAATTTGTACTAGTGTCATTATTTCCGGGCATACACGTTATCGAAGCTCTCTGCGACAATGACGGAGCCTCAGAGATACTATGGTGCCGAATTCATGACGGCTACCAGCTGCACACGGTCGGTGTGGCTTACAGAGCTCCACTGAGCTCAGGCGTCCGTCTATTACAGTCTGTAAAAACCAATGGACGAGGAAGGAACTGTATGCTAATGGGCGACTTCAATGCACCCAGCGTCGACTGGAACCTTCCTCACTGTGATCTTTACCAAGATACCTTCGAGACTGGCTTTCTCGACGTTATTCACGAATGCAATCTGATCCAGCACATCTCAGCATCAACGCGGATGATACCGGGTCAAACACCAAACATACTGGATCTCGTCCACACACCAGCGCTCTCTGATGTCCATGGACTGAAGATACTACAACCATTCGGTCGGAGTAACCACTCTACAATCTCCTACTTTTGGGCATGCCGCCTTGCCATACATGATCAAAGGACACGCCGTCGCAACTTCTGGCGTGTTGTCCCATCCAGATTACAATAAGTGGCAAGCGCTACAGACTGGACCATTCCACAATCCCTGAAGCTTGATGAAGCATGAAACTTACTACGCTGGAAGATGTCTGTCATGAAAAAGTTGTCCCTATCACCAAGGTCAGGCTTTCCCCAAAGGCCCCCCCTTTGATCGACCGAGATGTGAGATCCCTGATGAACGAACGACGCAAACTGAGGAACATATTCAAGTCAACACAGGTAATGTCAGATTATTCGAAGTACAAAGTGATCAGAAATCTGGGCACTCTAAGAAAGCGCCAGAAACAATCACAGTACGAACATAGCTGAATCACGCAATCACGAACCTGCCCAAAGAAGCGGTTCTCGTACCAGAAACGAAACACCAAGGCTGGCAGTGGTATCCCTGATAGGAAGAGAACACAGTGCTCTACGACACTGGACCATAAGGTGGTACGACGGTTTACGTACCTCATTGACCTATTCAGCTACACTGGGTAGTGCCTACGGGCACCTTGAGAGATACTACCAGGTCGGTCAATGGTGAGAGGTCACACAAACTCAGTCTCCTGGTCCTCCAGGTTGGGGGTTTGAAATAGGATGGCGTCCATTTCTGTAAAACTAAATCATTGCCACCTCCCCACTGCATTGCAAACAGGCTTTTGATCCAAAGGCTTTGGATGAGGACCCTAATCATCCTCCTGTCTAGGTCTGGGCGCCCTGGCAGTATCTCAGCCCACATACAAGCATGACATTTCCTTCAAACATAAACTTCATCCTGCATCGGCCGTCGTGCAGATTGTCAAGGGTCGCCTTATCTGCTGCATACAGTAGGGCAGATAAGCGAAAACATGCCACTGCTGGCGCCTCCCTTCTTTCTTTTTCACCTGTTTCTCTTACTCCCATCCCGACCCCCATTACTAACCTACCTATAATTCCCAGATTCATTGACAGCAACCGAAGTGCCACTGGAGTAGAACTACCTACAGCCACCATCCCACAACGCCTATCGGCAAAAGTCCCTTATAAGGCCACGCTATCCCGTCTCCATGGCGACATTCAACGTTTGCACTCTAAGACAAAAAGGTCAACAGGCTGCACGCGCACGCACCTTGGACATACTGGGTATTGATGGCTGTCGTGTGTCCGAAACTAGGATCAATGATCCTAAACGGGTTATCGAATTAACTGCACCCGGCTTATCCTTTCGTTATTGGTTGTACGCATCCGGAGACGTCGATGCAGCACTCATGGGTCAAGCTGGTGTAGGTATCATTTTAAGCTCCATAGCTGAGCCATTGTTGGTTGATTGGATTCCGGTGAACAGCCGTTTATGTGCAGCCTGTTTGACGACATCAGCTAAGGTGGGTCCACGAAGTAGTACAAAACGCTGTTTGTTTGTGATTTCTGCTTATGCTCCCACCGACTGCAATCCTAATGCTGTCAAGGACACTTTCTATCACGAACTGAACATGTCACTACGCAATGCTATTAGTTCAGATATCATAAATAAATAAATAAAATTTTATTCTCGACAACGTGAGGCACACCTTTACAGGCATGATCATGTTTAGCTAACATAGTGTGATCAAAAATGTACAAAAAGCACATGTTTTGCATAACAGTGTACGTAACTGTACGGGTGTATATACGTACGTAATTGTCTATCAATGTAAGTTGTTTTTGAATGTGCCGCAGTATTTCTGTCTGGTTGTTATCGTCAGGGATGTGGGAATAAGCGATTGATGTCGTGGGTTGGATAGCAATTTCCGGATATCCACGGGCCAGTGACTTTAGTGTGTGGCGAGTCACATCCGCCACGTCGCAGTGTTGATAAGCAGACATTTGTGGCTTTTTATAGGGAGAACGCTTGCCAGGCGAAAACCCACCACGTCCTGGAACACTGCTGCCGAACTATTTGCTGGAACGGGTTAAACCCGAATCACCCAGCTGGCAGCATGAGGAGGTTGTTCGGCTAGCCAACATAGTACATGGAGGAGATATAAACGCACAAGTAGGGCGTCTGAGCTCTCCAGAAGCTCAGCTGGTGGTAATCATAGGCTTAACTCCGAAAGGATTGACAACGGTGAGCGTCTGCTGCAACTGTGTGCGGAGCACCAGTTGTTGCTTAGTAGCACTGCTTTAGGACAGAGTGGGCGCCGAAGTACCACTTGGCGTCCTCCTGTAGCTGGCCAGCGATGGACTCAAATTGACCACATACGCCATAGGTTACAGGTGGCGTGGTTCCATCCTGGATTGTCGCTCGTACTGGAATACCTGCATCGACTCTGATCATGCCTTGGTACGCTGTCGTTTCTCCATGAACGTTACCGGGAGGTGCTCCTAGCGTCTCCTCCAATTGGCAACTGAGAAATTGTCTCAGCCCTCGGTCAGGCAAGCCTATCAAAACGCATTGCATACCGAATTTTCGCTGTCTTGTTCTAATGACACTAAGTTTCAGTGAAATAGGATCTCGGCCGCCATGCACGACGCAGGAGCATCTGCCTGTGGTACTATCCATCGTCACCGCATCAGTCACTGGATATCCGAGAGGTCGATGAACCTGTTAGAATCTAGAAGAGACCTCCCTCTGGCGCTGAACACAATGTGACCAGACGGACTATTAGGCGTGAACTAAAGCGGAGCTTACGTGCTGACAAGGAAGCCTGGTGGACTAGTCGGGCTCAAGAAATGGAGGAGGCAGGTGTAGTAGGCAATTACCGCAAGCTCTTCCAGCTAATCTTCACCACTGGTCCCAGAAAACCAGGCATCAGTGAGACAATCAGAAACAACGCGAGTGCGCTGATACACAATAAGGAGCGCCGTATGATTCGTTGGGCACAACACTTTCAAGATCAATTCAGCTGGCCCCCTACTCCCGGACCTCTTCCTACTCAGGTGATGCAGGACGAGCCATGGACGGTTAGTTTAGAGCCTCCTTCGGAGACCGAGGTCCGAAACGCGATCACTACCCTCAATGGTTTTCGTGCCGCTGGCCCGGATTCCCTCCCACCAACACTCTTTAAGGATGGAAGTGAGGTCCTCTGCAAAACACTGCCCTCCCTATTCGAATAAATCTGGAAGGAAGAGAGTATCCCTTCTGATTAGAGCGAATCGATTATAGTGGAAATATACAAGAAGAGCAATCGCACCAACAGTTCTAACCACAGGGGTATTAGCCTAACGCCAGTTGTGACAAAATTAGTGGCCTCGAGTCTCATTCGTCGCCCCACTGTGGAACGAGAATCTCGAACTAGTCCGGTTTCCGCCCAGGACGTGGCTGTATAGGCCATATGTTCACTTTGTGGCAGGTGCTAGAGCAGCGCCACATATACCGCAGACCGACAATAACTGTGTTCCTCGATTTCAAGAGTGCGTTCGATTCAGTCGATCGATCGGTTCTGTTCAAAATACTTGCGCGGAAAGGTGTTCCCACGAAATATGTGAACATCCTTCGTGATCTATACTCGCACGCTACAGGCCGCGTCACGGTCTGTGGTGACCTGTTGTATAGCTTTCTAATCACAAGTGGCGTTCATCAGGGTTATCCGATTTCCCCATTTTTGTTCAATTTCCTCGTGGATTCTATCATGGAGTGTTCTTTTGCGGAATCTCACGATGCAGGCGTTGTAGTGCTGCTTGGTGAAAGGTTAGTTGATCTAGATTATGCGGACAATATCGTGTTGCTTTTCGACCATGTTGCGGCGGCACATTCAACCTTGAATAGCCTGTTCAAAGTGGTCCCATTATTTGGTATGCACTTCGCACCTTCAAACTGCAAAGTGTTGCTGCAGGATCACCAACCACTTTATGACCCCTTGATGCTTGCTAACGAAGAACTCGCGGTGGTTGATCAATTCACCTATCTTAGCAGCTGCATCAGCAACGATGGGCGGATAGAAACTGACGTCAGCTCACACATTGCAAAGGCCAGAACTGCCTTCTTGAGCCTGCGGCATCTTTGGCGACAGAAGGGAATTTCCCTAGCGCATGGTGCTGTAGCACATGCGGTCGCGAGTGCCTGAGTCAGGCAGGCCTAGTGAGCCATGAGCGAGGCCACTCGGGACCACTACCGAAGCGACGACGGGTCCTGCAGAGAAGGTAGGCAGAACCAGCGCAGCGTTTGTAGGTAAGCTGCATTCGATTTACTAACCGCGTGCTTGCAGGCTAAGTCTATTTATTTCAGGTAGTGGGCTTCCAATTTTGTCCTAATGCTTTTCTTTCTCATATAAATGCTTACCTCTACTCTCCTCTATAAACTTGTACACGTGGTTTAAGCCAACTGTAGTTAATTTCGTTAACATTTTCGTGTTTGTGGCATTTCCGTAAAATATACTTTCCGACCTAGTGAACTTATCTCGAATTCGTTTAAAACAACTTATTTCATATGCTCAGCAAGATTTATGTTATCGTTTCCTTATGCAGTACTCGACTTATTTTATTTGTTATCTTTCGCTCAAGTGATTTGCTGTTGTTTAATCTCCCTGGTGTGGCTGCGTTTGTTGTGCATGTTGACAAAGTGCCTACCTGTCTATTACCCACTACCTCGTCCATACTGGCTCCAGGAGACAGTTGGTCGTTGCTGGAGGAGACGGGCTGCACGGTCCTTGTGGTCGTGTTAGGCCCGGAAAGTGGTTCCATGCACTCAGTGTGGAGAGGACTACGGTCCAGCTACCGCCTTGTGTGCACTTGATTCCCCAAATACAGCGTGCTTGTATTTGCCTGTGAAGGAGTGTGGGCCGACTCCGTTGATGAAACGTGGCTCCCATCCACATGCCTCCCGGTCTTATCCCTTCGGGTTCACGCTGGATATGGGGTGTGTGGATGGAGCTGTGGGTGGCGTAGCGCAAGTCACCCATGGTCGCTCTGTAGACGCAGGCGTAATGTGGCTAGCCACAGTGACAGGTTAATCCGAAACCGGATGCCGCCAGCAATATATATATATATATACATATATATATATATATACATATATACATTGCTGGCGGCATCCGGTTTCGAATTAACCTGTCACTGTGGCTAGCCACATTACGCCTGCGTCTACAGAGCGACCATGGGTGACTTGCGCTACGCCACCCACAGCTCCATCCATCTGGTCTTCGCGATACGTAAGCTAATAAAATCCCTAAACCTTCTTGTATGTGGTTGAAGACTAGGACTTACGGCAAATTGTTCAAATAGTACATTATCCTTTCAGGATACAGAGGTAATAGCCGGCATGAGCGTTATATATATATATATATATATATATATACATATACATATATATATATATACATATATATATACATATATATATATATACATATATATATAATGTACTATTTGAACAATTTGCCGTAAGTCCTAGTCTTCTACCACATACAAGAAGGTTTAGGGATGTTATTAGCTTACGTATCGCGAAGACCAGAATAGCATTAGTGAATGCGTAACAGTTGTGGCACCAGAAGAGGACTTTCCTGATTTTGAAAGGTTGTGTAAACGGAGCTACAGGGAGGGTCGTTTTCGTTCGTAGAAGTAAAAGTTGAGCCTATCGGTTAGGATTACCTACAAGTATTTGATAATCTTTAGTGTATTCGTCTCAGCAACTCACAAGTTACATAGCACAACCAGATCCGGAAAAGCACCAGACGCATTTCACCCTATTAGGGCTCGTCAGTGATGTGCATTCCTTCGATCCCCTACAGGGGATCGAACCCATGACCGCTGGAGGCTGACGCCAACTAGCCAGCAGCTTAAGCTACGAGGGACCGTGGTTGGGCTAGATAATTTGCAAGTTAACTGGGATATAGCACAACCTGTTGCAGGGGAAACATAACTGGTGTCGGATAGCATCAGCGTGTTCACAACAATAATCCGCACGTGTGAATACTACGTGAAGACAATCACGTGTGTCCATTGGAGCAACAATTGACAATGAAGGAGTTGCATTGAGCTGAGCACGTGCTCGGTCCTCGCTTATTAAGGCCGGCCTGTTTTATTGGGCGGATGTAGTATGGTGCAAGTTGCAAGTGGGGAGAAAGTTGATCGAGTGGAGGGAGGAATAAATCCTTTGAGAATTACACCGGGAGATATTTGTCCCTTTCAACTGCACTCATTTTGTGCAAGGCTCCAGACTTTACAAAATATGACCTGTACCCGATACATGTGGTGTACTTCTTATCGTCGTCTAGCCAGCTTGATGCGGCCTTAGTTGTGGAGCCGCAAGGAAGCTGTTTCGCCGACAGTGTTCATTCATCACTTTTCGAGGTCAAATCATTGAAATTGCGGTTTGCATTGACCAGGCTCGCACATCTTCAAGCATCTATGGAGACAAGTGCCTAACGATCAAGGGCAGAGTGTCACCAATGGGACTGGTGTGCGCAAATGCAAGCATCTGCACCGTAGCGTAAAAACCCAGTGGGATCACTGAGTGAGAAAAGTAAATACCCTCCAGTTGTGTTTGACAACAATCCGTAGGGTGCGATGTTAGACCACCAGTCGTGCATGAGCACCGTGTATCATATTGGTTACATTCTACATGCGGCAACCACTGACTAACAGTCTCAGCATGCGCTACTTTTAAAAGTAGCGCATGGTTGAAGGACGCCTCGGTAGCCGAAAAATGACATGACAAAAAACGTGAAAAATTCGATCGAAAAAGGTGGTGCATACAGACGACAGTGGGGTGAGTTTCATAGTTTTGAAAGAATTCGAATACCATGGCTGTAGCATATCTCCTTTATTCTGCTGCTAGGTGAGCAGAAATAGTCTTGCGCTGTTAGACTTTTTGGAGCTGGTATTCTACCCAAGCGATGAACCATGACTATATAGCTCCCTTGGAGCGGACTCAGTGCCTATGCAAACACTGACGTGTAATGCTGCGGAGTCCGCAATTCAAAATGTAAGGTACTGCCACTGGAGTAGACCTACAAGATGTGGGATATATTTATGACCAACCGACCACCGAGAGTGGCCGCTCAGTTCAATTACTCTAGTGGTTGAATCATCTCTGATAGTCACAAGACTAAGGGGACAATTCACGTATCTGCAAAGCTCGTGTGACATTGCAAGGTCTTGGTTATCTATTGAGATAGTGGGATATCAGCTTATAAGTCACAGGCAAGATGTTACTGCATAGGTCAAAATTATGGACACTCCGTTATGACAACATTACGAGATTGGTATTCTCTGAGCACTTATGCCGATCAGATTGGACACGTTATGTCATCTGCAAACCGGTTGACCGCCTTCCTCGATGTATGTCATATACTGCCGCTGAAATCGGTTGGGCGAAACTGAGGGTGGTCGGCTGATGACATAGAGAAGAGACACTAAGGAATTGACTGACAGACTTGTCTAGACTGGCATGAGTCGCCTTCGCAGACAGGGGCCACACGATGAACCACGCGAGAACTCGAAGAGGTTAGTCGACATGAAGTGGTCGCGCGCTCAGTTGTACTCCTGAAATCGGCTTCTTGCATTCCCTGTTGCGTACTACCTCATATGTTTCATGCTGTCGACCATTTATTAGCTTGGTGACGCGAGTTGGGCCATTTAAATCCTCAGTACTTCCATGCCTGGACTATAGTACTCTAAGTATACAGAACTTAACCTGTCTGGTTAGAACCTTCCTCCGGGACACCGGTCGCGGGAAAAGCTGCATCAATGATTAGGACCTTTAAACGGCCGCATGAACTCACGTTCACTAGTTTTGTCTTGTTAGCGCGCTTGCTCCTCCCATTTTCCTGGTGTCAAGAGTTAAAGAGGTTGAAATAGCTTTACTACATTGCACGGAAGATAGACGAATAACTGGATGGATAAATGTGATCGTAGGTCGTTTTCCAGAGAAGTAGCACGTTTCCAAGTATGAGTTTTCAAGAGTAATGAAAATTGAGTAAGTAAAGGTGATTAAAAATCAGCTGAATTACAATCCGAAAATAACAAAATCGTGCCTAGCTAGGCGAAAGGGCATCAGCAGTACGTCGGAACACCGTACTGATGCTTCGCTGCCACGTGACCAATAGTCGCGCGTGGGCCAACTATACCGAGAGGTCGTCCGCATCGACGCGGATTCGAACCCAATGAGTTGCGGATTACAACGCAAGAGTGTACTCCTTTCGAGCATTGGTCGATAGTGCGAAATAGGAAAGCAAAACAGTATCGAGTCTATGCGATCAGGAGCCGTGGGTTGCAAGGGAATTTGTTTAAAAGCATGTTTGGAGAGAGTAAAAGAGCTGAAAAAAGAGGATCTCTAGTAAGGATAAGACTGACTTGAGTTCGGACTCGGTAACTAGTGATAACGACGTGAAAGCGAACGTCCCATGAACAAACAGATGCGCAAACGTTTCAGCAAGTGCTGTGTTCACAGCATGTGACTGAGGCAGTGAAGGTTTCGGGATCTGTCAGCGAGTGCTCAGTTTGGGCGGTACTGCCTCGGGAACCGTTGGTCACCACGACCTGTAACGAACAGGTTGTCAAATTAAATAGAAAAGCTCGCATTGATTGGTAAAAACTGTCTGATTCCGGATACGAACTGATAAGATCGAATGTGCCGGCAGTCTGCTTAGTAAGAAAGAGGAAAAGCAGAGAAAAATTACAGTTTCAATGTCCGAAGCGAATGTAGCCAGGCTGTTACACTCACCTCACCTAGTCACACATACATGACCAAATAAAGTCCAAGTCACATGATACAGATCATCATCATCATCATTATACATGTCAGCTAGAGATGGTAAAACACCTCCGCTATTGTACCGCAACACCTCCGCTATTGTACCGCACACATGATACAGAACAATGGAAGGAATGCAGGATTCTGTAAGGTAATCTATATTTCATTAAGTCCGCGTGGCTTTCAGTGTTGCAACACAAGGTATGGAAGACATAACTTATGAGGCTCTTTTAGGATTAAGGATAAGAGGCCCGACGTTATCACCGGTTTCCTCATTGTGCTTATTGTGACTTCCATCACAATAAGGGAACTAGAAAGCGAGGGTTAGTATGAAACTGAGTTTAAATTACCTTGGAAGATCGCCAGCAGCGACAGTAGACCTTCTTGTCTGCGATTGACTCAAGGTCGACGGAATCGACACATTTGTTGAGATGTTTGCAGATATTGTGGTTGATCTTATAACCTTTCTTTACAGCAAACAAAGTAGCAGTCGTATATATGGAGTAGCCCAAGACGCCGGTCACAGCGCCGAAAACAGTGAGGCCAACTAAATCTTTAACTTGAAATGGGCAGGTAAAACAATATGCGTCATCACCTACAGGAAAGTCGAAAAATATCACCGAATGTTTCGGGAATGGGTACTGATCTCAGCAGATTAGCCGAATGAACACACACTAAGTCATGAAGAATGTTCATTCTAGTCAGACTTTGAAATGGAATTGAGGACAAACTCGTTTCACGCTTGTAAAACGTCCGTCTGAAAGAGATGGAGGCAAGAATTGTTACCGCGACTGCCAAAGCTATGTGAAAAAATAACGGTTACAATTCTTGTCTGTGAGTTCACATCAAAACAGCAGGTTGGTTAATATTGTCAATAATGAGTGATGGGCAGTGTCGAGACAGCCTCCTGAGAATAAAAACGAAGACTGGGAAGCGATGCAGAAATGTTCAGTTCAGTTGGACAACTATGATCCGAGAACCGAATTGCGGTGTACCCAGTTGTCATGAATCACATGGCAAGAGTAACAATGTAAAACAGCGGCAAGATTGTGTGGTTAAAGGTAAATGGAATGTAAAGAAAATGGAAGCAATAAGTATGTTGAAGTAATCAGAGCAAAACGAAAATTAGGGACCAGATGCAAGAAACCGAATGCAGGAACGCCACTAACTGCGTGGCTGCACCATTTCTGTTACGGTCTCCAACCATTAGTGCGGACCAGCCCGAGACCCCCATCCACGCACCAGTCTGACAAAATTTCCCAGTCAATTATTTCATGTCACTATGCCACGTCATGGACTGGCCACCTCGCGGTTTCGCCCAACTTGGTGAAGCCACTGCGTATAATGCACGATGAGGAAGCCGGTCAATCGACATACGGAGGACATGGCCTAGCCAACGTACGCGATTAAGATTCAGCAAACACTCGAGTGAGGCAGCAGAAAGCTTCTTGACAAAAACCAACTGGCGGACGTCAGCGTTGCTCACACTGGGTTCGCACTAGACATGAGCAATACACCGCAAGCACCGGTGGTCAAACACGGTCAAGTGTTTAATCTCTTCATTGTAAACTGGCCAGGTCTCTGATCCACACAGTAACACCGGCCTTACCGCAGCGTTATGTAAATAGGGAACAAAGAATCAGTTTATAGTGTACAAAGTTGAACCACGATGTTAATGCGGCGCACTTTCATCGACTGATTCTTGGCAGCAATCCGCCTGAGTTCGTCGGCTTGCGCTCGTTCGGCAATGTTTGGACCACTCTTATCTTGGCTGCAACAAAGTAGCGCTTTCAATCTCTTGGAATATATTGGAACTGATGGGGTCATGGTCTAACGAAGCTACTGCGTCAAAAACGGAACGTTGAAAAATAAATAAACCAATCTATCGTCGACAAATCCCATTGAAAATTGCACTCGGCACACAATGTTATAAACCAATACTTGGCCGTGCATCCGATCCGTGCAAATGTGGTCAGCTTGCGGCGACATTGCTGAGTGGCTTTCCACCCGCTAGCCTGTTCGCTAAGTTGATTAGCCACCACCACATCGCTCGCTCAGAGTCAGTGTCACGCGTGAGAAGCTGTTGGGTGCGTCTCGGATACTAATTGATAGCGATGATATGTAAGAGATGTGCCAAATACGGAACGGTAGGGAAGATAGAGGCAGCTGGGCACAAGGTACAGTGAACAGACTACAAGGAATGGAGAGCGAGTAAGCAAGGGCGAGGAACTACATAGCGTGCGACTCATCGAGGAAAATGTGTTGGAGAGTAGAAACCATGATAGGATCTAATATTAGGAAATACTGAAAGAGTTTTCAGGTTCACTACAAGGGCCTCCTCCTAGAAGGCTGAGGCATGGAAACCTTCAATAGAACTGTCAGGAGGAAAAGGGAAATGAGGATGAGTGCGAAGTCACATAAGGGGTTCCCGTTGACAAAAGTGTGTCAATTTAAATGGACTTTATTTCGAATAAAAATGTTACATTTGGGCCAAGATATGTGTATGTAAAGTTTAGGATTCAAAACCGCAACATCTGTATTACAAATCTAATAGAATTTGCTTCGCACCAGCCTGTGATCACTTCCACACTCATTTTCATGCAGTACACGTGTCATGGGCACTTCGCGCTGGCATAGTCGAACTGGTGAGCATGATCACTCCGTAGGTGCATCTATGTAACCATATCACTCACATCCAATGCAAACTATGTGTTCTTGATCGTCAGGTCATGAGTGGCGCAGTGAGAGCAGCCGGTCTCGGTTCCCACTGGCTGTGCCAAAACCATGCGAACTGATTACTTCCGTCCATGCCGCAGCATCATGTCCAACGCGCACGTTGAAAGTACCCAGTAAGAATAGTTGACCGCTTCTCTGCATAGACTTTATCACGGAAGATCACTGAGTGTAAGACAGGCCTTTTGAGTCACCAAGTGACGATTTATTTTTTAAAGTCGCAGGCGAAGTGCCGTCAAGCGTGAGCTGATGTCAGTCGGATTTCACACCAGCTGGTCAGTTAGGCGGGGAGCAGTGCAAACCAATGTTCACATGGTGCTGGGGTGGAGTTCCTCACACAGTAGAACGTGTAACCAGTACCAGCCTCATACAGCTTGCTTTGGTCAGTGAGCCGAGCCCAGCTGTGTGCGGCAATGTCGATCCCGTTGCGCACGAGTGCTATAGCGACCATCGCACTGCATCGCTCGGGACGCTCAGTTGGGTGCAGGTCGAGTAGTATGCGCATGTTCCGGCGCCCGATGTTGAGTGCTTTGCGTGTAGGCATACGATTGCAGTGGCGGACAATCGCTCGTATGGTGACCTGTGTTAGATGAAGCAGGAGTAAGTTGAAATAGGGACGGGGAGATCATGTGCTGGGGAAGAAGAAGGGCATAATCGGCAGTGTGTTTTCACTAATCCACCTCACTATGCAGCAGATAAGGCGACTGTTTTCGTAAAGCCACTACACGACGGCCGATGCAGCATGGCATGATTCGTGTTTTGGGGGTTGGACCAGGATACTGCCAGGGCACCCACACCTGACAGGAAAACGACCCGGGCCCTCAGCCAAAGCTTTCGGCAAAATGTACACCCGAAAGGTAGCGTGCCGTGCGTCATAAGTCAGTAACCCGACCCACGCGGAAATTATGTGTCCTGGCTCTTAGCTAGAAGGTAACTCAACTTCCACCAAACTGTCACTACGACGCGTCCGGGACGTGAGTCCACGGTACATCGGGAGCAGTGGGTCTGCGATCTGTCAGTATCTAGCCACCACAGGCTGTAGCACCATACCTACTAAGTGGTGTCCATTGAAAGCTGTTTCCATGACTTCGCCGATAGCGAAGTTGAAAAGCTTGTATACTTGTTTCACATCGTTGGATATAGTGAAACGCGGTGACAGCTTGACGTAAGCCCTAAACACCGCCAAAAATACGCGCGTAAAGGACTGGGATAATACATATTTCTCGGGCACATCTTTCCTTACAAGACAGTCCCAAAGAACATAACGATTTACCGAAGCGAAGGCACCTTTGATGTCGAGGAACACGACTACGGTGGGCTATCAATTTGTGTGGCGGTGCTACAACAATTGACGTAACGTGGAGATGTGATCGATGCAGTCCCGACCTCGACGTAACCCGGCTTGCTCCTCACGAACCTGGTTTTCACGAGCGCCAGTCAGTGTGAAGGATGACAGCGGCAAGTAGTTGGGAGCTAATGGAGACCAGACTGATTATCCTATGGTTGCCGCATTCCGAACGTCAGCCTTCTTTGAAGATCGGGACAATAACGGGGCGACTTAGGTCGGTTGGGACAGTTTCCTGCTCTCAGTTTTACTGATTACTCGTGTAAATCATCAACAAGGGCGAGGCTCCCAAATTTGAAGAGGGCTAGAAGAAGATCACGTGCTCTTGCGGCCCTCTTCTACTTCAGATGTCCAGTCTCACGTTCGAATTCTGAGCGACAGGGTGGATGGGAAGGGATAGCTAAGAGAGTCGGGTGATCAATGTCCGGTGAGGAATCGAACAATTCCGACCGATTAAGTGGTCATTTAAAGTGTTCAGTCCAAAGATCCAAACGTTGATTACCGAGGGAATAAAACCGACGAGAGAGAGATGGTAGGTTTGAGCTGGGAGGCACATTGTGTATGGCATGTTTGGTCATGTCTCATCCGCGACGAAATCCTCTATTAACAATATATACCCTACTATCGGAAACGCATTGTGGTCCCACAGTCCAAGGTCGATTATGCACTGCGACAGCTTCATGCTGACCTAAGGCATTTCGGTCAAAGGAAAATGAAGGGAGCCGGATCAACGCGGGGATATTGTCAATTTTCGCGACGGTTGTCATGATTGTCCTCGTTCAAAGCCACCCCAAAAACCAAACTGTGCACTTCTACAACCATCGTGAGGAGGTACGCAAAGCAGACGGCAGCGGTTGACATCATGATGTATGTACCCGTTAGGGCTCGAGACAACCGCTAGAATTTGGCCATCGTCTCTAAATGGTGCGAGGCTACTCCCAAACCATGTACAGACGCGGTTATTGAGGCGAAGACTATTCATGCAAAATGGATCGCACTTTGGGGGGCCCCGGAACAGTTACATTCAGATCGAGGGTCCAATTTCGTGAGTATAGTCGTACCGGAATTCTGCCAGATGCTGAGTATTCGTAAAACACTTACTACTCAATACCACCCACAAAGCTACTGCACAGTCGAACTCGCCAACAGGTTGCTGAAATCCCTTCTCAAAGCTTTCAATGACGAATGCAGTACACGCGACTGAGATCATGCTCGTTCTCACTGCTTGCTCGGATATCGCTCCACTGTACTTCTAAAACGCACAGTCTCCTAACTTTCTGCTCATGGGAATGGAAATGCGATTACTCCTATATCTGACTTAACCTCGCTTAGTGGGTAGTGTTTGCAAGTGAAAACCGGTCTGCACCACGCTCACTACCTAGAAAGAAGCAGTTTAGGTAACGCGCAGCGGCATAATAAGGGTTACTACAATCGCAGCTCGGACAGCTGGTTTATCTACACTCGCTCGTACCACTTCCTGGCCATTCTTCGAAGCTACGTAAGGAGGAGGCAGGACCATAGGTTGTTAACGAGGTGTACGACGACTGCACTTAACGTATTACAGACAGCACTCATAATTCCAGTCGTTCCTTCATGGTGCACTTCAATCGACTCAAAGCTGGTCCATGAGTTGTACCCGCCCGAAGACTACTTGAGACCGTGCGTTCACAATACCAGAGGCTGTCGATAGCGTGGAGATAAGGAAGGTGGCATCGAATTCAGAGCAGCAGCTGCTTACAGGTGTTGGGAACAACACAGAGTAGTTAGAGGGATAAGGTACAATACGTTATGCAGCGTCACTATGAGAACTTTTCTCCACTGCTGATTACTTCTCTTGCTTTTCAGGTTATTTCCCAAAGAACCCACATGTCAGTAGACCAGCGAAGAAAGACTGGTGAATCATCAAACATTTATCGCGTACTTTCTATAATATGCGTCCGGCCGAGGATTTCCGTGTCCAGTATGTATGTGGGAGGAGGGAGGCTGCAATGCAAAAGAAAGATCTTGTAGGCGGCTGGATTCCCATATTACAATCACCTAGTAAGAGACCACACCGAATGAAATGTGTGTGATGTGCAATAGTCCTAGTAGGAATTGAAACAGATACAACGTGATGAAATGAAAGGATGTACGATTGCAACGGTTATCACACAACGAACAGTAAAACTCGGTGGGTCAGAATCGAACTCAGTGAGAACGAGAGAGGTGCAAGTCACACAGGTGTATTGGCAAATAACAAAGTCAGTTCCGGTGCACAAGCAGAGAAACAAGAAATATATCGCAACAGTAGGAGTTATTAAGCGAAGAAATCAGTTACCAAAGATGTTTTATAGGAGCCAATTGCATACGACGCCTATAGTATTGGACAATGATTAGGGGATTTCGCTACATTATCCCTCCAAACGAACAAGCGTCGTCCGTGACGAGTAGTGAGTAGTAGGGTTTTCGTGAAGATTCGTCGCAGCTAGATTCAGGGAGACAGCTACCACAAATGCAGGAAAGCGCTAGACTGCCGTTTCGTCCTATTGGGAGTCGTCAGTAGTGCACAGGGTCATGTGAACAGGAAATCGAGCGAGTAGATTCAACCGCCAGTCTGGAACCAATTCGGCCTTTACGGTAGATGGGGTGTCGCAGTAGATGATGACCCGACAGTAAGGGCAGGAGGAGCGAACTTGAACAGAGAATGGTTGTACACCGAGGTCTGGTCCATAAATGTGGAGAGAGGGGTTGGGCACATGATAGGACAACAGTGGACAACAGAAAAGGTCACCCAAATTATGATAGGTCCCTACCGCAAATAAAAACCGCACCGGAAATGTGCCTTTTGCTAGTGAAAGGTTGTAGCCGGAAAAGAAAGCAGAGTGTTTGGAAGAGTTCTAGGATCGATTTAGACCTGAGGCCCGAACATCTGATCCGATGAGTGAGAATGATGGTTGGGCTAGATGACAAGCTACGGTATTGCCTAAAGTAAAAAAAATCAGTAAGTTGGGAGTTGCGGTCAGTATGGTGTGTTGCATCTACAGAGGACATAGTGAATATCTGCACATCGTGGTCCTCTAAGGCAAGGCATTCGGCAACACAAGAGAAAGGTGGAAGACAGTGGACTACACTGTCCAAAGTGACTAGATCTCCCTGTGTGGTGACGGACAGGGCCAAAAGTAGGGTGGATTGCAATGCCACAGCCGTTACGATTTGGTCTGCAGACAGAAATTATTGCTGTGAAGATACGAAGAATTGCAGTGTCGACGGACCCATTGGCTGTTGCGTTCATTGATGGACACCGGAGTCAGAGAAATTATGAGAAATGGCATAGTATGGAGTCAGTTGTGCCAGTTTCTCCTACTGAATCCTCGATGTTGCATTGCGACTCGCCCAGGACACAAAGTGCGATGGCCTAGGAATGCTGTCTCGCATGAAGACAGAGATATCCCGGAGTGCCTGAGTATCGCTGCAACAGATATCTATGTGCGATACCATGTACCATGGACTAAATTAAGAGCAGAAATCACTATGCGCATGCAAGTGGACAAATCGCCAATGCAGAGAAGCACATGGGTCGTATTTCACTTTGTCGTGAGAATCGTAAAATACTTCCGTCGCCATTTTTGTGGCGTGCAATGGTCCTAGTGGGAACCGCAATAGATCCTATGCGATGAAATGAAGAAATGCACGATTCCAACCGTTATGACACTATTAATAATAAGTCCCAGTGTGACAGAACCGAACTCAGTGAGAACGAGAGAGGTGCGCGTCACACACGTGGATCGGTAACAACCATAGTCAGTGCCAGTTCAAGATAAGTTGGGACCGAAACGAGAAGATAATCCAGTGAATGTTTCTTCTTCTGCATATTGTTGAACCGGGAATCAATAGGTCTGATTGAGATGTTGACAAGTCTTAAAAAACCGCACCACACCCTGGCCAACCAAGCAATGCTCACATCTGCTTCCCAGCAATCCCAGTCAGGCTGGTTTATGTGAAGCAAGAGTGCATGACAAACTAATAAAACGAGAGGAGGAATGTTAACTAAATAATGGTGATACCGATGTATGAGAACAACTGGAAAAAGAACAAAAAACCGAAGATATAAATTGGTTAGGAGAAGGTTAGGTACTGCCACTTAAGAACATATAACTGATGTTCGAAATCCTCAACAGTAGATTCCCTAACGACGTGCGCCGGAAGAGAGTCCCAAAGTCCAATAACGGCGCGGTAAATGAGTTTCTGTCCTTACCCGGTTAGAACACAGTTCGTGCAGCTTTAACAGGTGAGCACGCAGACTAGGCAGCGTAGCGGGACTAAATAGCAGGGACAAGTGTGGACCGATCTTGCCTGTTAGGATACGGCAAGTGGGGATCAAGTCCCCTCTAATTATCCGGTAGTGCATTGAGTACATCACCATGTTAAGCAAACTTTGGGAATATGTTTGCCCCCGCAAACTATGTACTAACCTTGTACCCACTCGCAAAAGCCTCTCCAATTCCATTTTGTCCGTTACATGATATAGTGGACAAGCCTGGATACAGTATTCTAACTGGGGTTGCCCATAAGCCGAGAAAAACTTCACAAACATATAAGCCGTTAAGACATCGAAGGAGCGGCGAGTAAACCACATCGTATGGAACGGTATGCAAGCTTCCTTCTTCTAACTGTCCCCAGAGTGAAGGACTGAGGCGTGGATGACGCCTAGATAAACATGCCGTGTGATAACAGGGAGTTCACTTCTATTAACAACAGCGCGAGGGGAGTAGCAGCTCTAATGCGGAGGACAGAACGTTTCGTCCCACCGCAACGAGACTGAACCTTAACGTGGTGCGAAGGTTTGCGTACCTCATTGACCCATTGAGCTACACTTGGTGGTGCCTCCGAGACCCTTGAGACCTATACTACCAGGTTGGTCAATGGTGAGGAGTCAGACAAACTCTGTCTCCTGATCCCCCAGGTTGAGGGTTTGAAATTGGATGGCATCCATTTCTGTAAAAGTAAATCATTGCCAACTCCCCGCTGCCTTGCGGACAGGCTTTCGAGCCAAAGGCTTTGGTTGAGGACCCTAATCGTCCTCCTGTCTAGGTTTCGGCAGCACATACAACCTTGACAATTTCTCCAAAGCGCTAACTACATCCTGCACCGGCCGTCGTGCAGATCATCAAGGGTCGCCTTATCTGCTGCATACAGTAGGGCGGATAAGCGAAAACATGCCACTGCTGGCGCCTCCCTTCTTTCCCATCTGTTAATCTCATCCCGACCCCCCATTATTAACCCTCCTTCTATAATTCCCTGCTTAATTGACAGCAACCGAAGTGCCACTGGAGTGGAACCATCTGCAGCTACCTGCCCGCAACACCCACCGGACGCTTATCGGCAACAGTCCCTTATCAGGCCACGCTGTCCAGTTTCCATGGTGACGCTCAACGTTCGCACTAAAAGACAAACGGAGTCAACAGGCTGCACTCGCACGCACCTTGGACAGACTGGGTGTTGTGTGTCCGAAACTAGGAACAATGATCCTAACGGGGTTGTTGAATCAAATACGCCCACCTTGTCCTCCCGCAATTCGTTGCACGCATCCTGAGACGCTGATGTAGCATTCAAGGGTCCAGCTGGTGTAGGTATCATTCTCAACTTCAAGGCTGAGCATAATTCGTTGATTGGATTCCGGTGAACAGCCGTTTATGTGCAGCCAGTTTGACGACATCAGCTAAGCTTGATTCAAGAAGTAGCACAAAACGCTGTTTGTTTGTGAGTTCCGCTTATGCTCTCACCGACTGCAGTTCAAATGCTGTCAAGGACACACTCTATCACGAACTGAACATGTCACTACGCAGTGCTACCAGTTCAGATATTATAGGACTTGTAGGGGATATGAACGCACAAGTAGGGCGTCTGAGCTCTTCAGAAGCTCAGCTGGTGGTAATCATAGGCTTAACTCCGAACGAACTGGCAACGGTTAGCGTCCGTTGCAACACTGTGCGTAGCACTAGTTACTATTTAGTAGCACAGCTTTTAGACACAGTGGGCGCCGAAGTGCAACTTGGCGTCCTCCTGTAGCTGGTCAGCAATGGACCCAAATTGACCACATCGCCATAAGTTACAGGTGGCGTAGTTCCATCCTAGATTACCGCTCGTTCTGGAATACCTGCATCGACTCTGATCATGCCTTGGTACGCTGTCGTTTCTCCATGAACATTACCGGGAGGTGCTCCTAGCGTCTCCTCCAATTGGCAACTGAGAAATTGTCTCAGCCCTCGGTCAGGCAAGCCTATCAAAACGCACTGCATACCGAATTTTCGCTGTCTTGTTCTAATGACACTAAGCTTCAGTGAAATAGGATCTCGGCCGCCATGCACGACGCAGGAGCATCTGCCTGTGGCACTATCCATCGTCACCGCATCAGTCACTGGATATCCGAGAAGTCGGTGAACTTGTTGGAATCAAGAAGAAACCTCCTGGCTGGCTCTGAACACAATGTGATCAGACGGACTATTAGGCGCGAAGAAAAGCGGAGCTTGCGTGTTGACAAGGAAGCCTGGTAGACCAGTAGGACTCAAGAAATGAAGCAGGCAGGAGCAGTAAGCAATTACCGCAAGCTCTTCCAGCTGATCCGCACCACTGGTCCCAGGAAACCAGGCGTCAGTGAGACAATCAGAGACAGAGCGGGTGCACTGATACACAATAAGGAGCGCCGCATGGCTTGTTGGGCGGAACACTTTCAAAATCAGTTCAGCTGGCCCCCCGCTCCCGAAACTCCTCCTACTCAGTTAATGCAACATGAGCCATGGATGTTTAGTTTAGAGCCTCCGTCGGAGGCCGAGGTCCGAAACGAGATTACAGCCCTCAATCCTTTTCGTGCCGCTGGCCCGGATTCCCTCCCACCTGCACTATTTAAGGATGGAGGTGATGATCTCTGCAAAGCACTGACCTCCATATTCGAACATATCTGGAAGGAAGAGGGTGTCCCTGATATCTGGAGCGAATCGATTATAGTGGCAATATACAAGAACGACAGTCGCACAGACTGTTCTAACCACAGGGGTATTAGCCTAATGCCAGTTGTAACAATTAGTGGCTGCGATTTTCGTTCGTCGTCTCAATAAGTAGCGGGAATCTCGGGTTAGGGAAGAGTAGGCAGGTTTCCACCCAGGACGTTGCTATATAGACCATATATTCTCTGCATCAGGTGCTAGAGCATCGTCACGTATACCGCAGACCGACAAAGGCTTTGTTTCTCGATTTCAAGTTTGCGTTCCATTCCATCGATGGATGCATTCTGTTCGAAATACATGCGTAAACATGTGTTCCCACGAAATATGTGAACATCTTACGTGGTCTATATTCGAAAACTACAGGCCGAGTCAGGGTCTACGGTAACCTGTCGTATAACTTTCCGACCACAAGTGGCGTTCCTCAGGGTTGTCCGATTTCTTCGTGATCTCCATCATGGAGTGTTCCCTTACGGAATCTTATGATGTACGCGTTGAGGACCTGCCTGGTGAAAGATTAATTGATCATGATTATGCGGACGATACCGTATTGCTACTCGAGGATGTTGCGGCGGCCCAGTCAACCATGAATAGCCTGTCTAGAGTGGTCCCATTATTTGGCATGCGCTTCGCACCTTAAAAGTACAAAGTGTTGCTGCAGGAGCAATAGCTACTTGATGACAATTTGACGCTTGATAACGAGGAACTCGACGTGGTCGATCGATTCACTTACCTTGGCAGCTGCATCAGCAATGATAGGCGCATAGAAACTGACGTCAGCAGGCATTGCAATAGCCAGAACTACCTTCTTGAACTTGCGGCATCTTTGGCGACAGAAGGGAGTTTCCCTCCATCTGAAACGCCGTGTTTACAAGGCTACAGGGAGGGCCGTTCTGCTCTATGGTAGTGAGACTGCCACTTCGGTCTGAAGATTTGAGGCGCCTTCAAGTCTTTGATCATCGTTGTCTGCTGAGCATTACTTGTGTCAGGTGGCACCAGCTTGTGCGCAACGATGATGTGCGTAGGCGAGTACTAGGTAGTGATAATCATGTTAGCTCCCTAGAACAACAGATAGCACTGAATAAGCTGCGTTGGCTTGGACAAGTACTACGTATGTCTGTCATCGCTAACCTAGAAGGACCTTGTTTAGTCTGACAGGTGTAGGGTGGCGCAATGCTCGAGGTAGACAGAAGTTGATTTGGCAGCGGGAAAGGTAGTCACTGACGACCAAACTGGGTACCGTCGGTCCGTCTCGCCTTTGCTTGGCTTGAGACGTTACAGGAGATGGCTCGCAGCCGACACCAGTCGGACTGCTTGTTTGGTGCTGAGTTATCTGCCAAGTAATGGCTGATTATGACGCGAGGCAGTGAAAGCCGCAAGGAAACTGTCTCCCTGATGCCGTCTTATGTTTGCACCATGGCCAGCTGTATGTGACGGTAGGTTGTTAACACAAGGTGTAGGCGCCTTGACCCTGAACGTTTGCTTAGGGCATTAAGGTTTTCCGGTAAGTCCCCTTCTCTCCCTCTTATTATTCTTTATTCCATAGGTCATCATGATTGTGTGGCCGCGGAGCATGGCTGATGTACTGCTGTTATTGAAACCAGGAATTCCAGCGTTCTATAACTCGGGGCGACAGACGAGTTTCCGTCCTTATCCGATCAGACCGTGGTTTATGCAACTTCAATAGGTGACTGCGGAGATTAGGTAATTTAGCGGGACTAAATAACAATGACAAGTCCGGGCCGATCTTAGTCGTCAAAATCCGGTGAGTATCAAGTCCCCCTTATCCTTCGGTAGTGCATACAGTACAGCCCCAAAGTAAACAAACGTTCAGGATACGCCTGTTCCCGTAGATTTTGCACTAACCTGGTACCCACTCATATAACCCTCTCTAAGTTCATTTTGTTTCGGATAAGACATGGTGGACAAGCATGGGTACAATATTCCAAGTGGGGTCACAAGAATGCCGAGAATAGCTTCACAAACATATCGATATTTAGAACCTCGAAAGAGCGGCGGATAAACCACATCATAAGAAACCCCCTGCAAGTAACCTCGGTCGAATTGTCGCCAAGTGAAGAGCTGATGAGTGGACGGCACATAAATCAACCTACTGAGTAACAACAAGGATTTCACCATCGCGGACAATAAACCGAGTGGGAGGACTAGTAGCTGAGAATTGTCATCAAACAAGAGCGACGGTATCTTAAACTTCTGGGGTTGGTCGTTGGCATAAATTGCGAAAAGCAATGGCCCTAAAACCGAGTCCAGCGGAATACCACTGAGAACAGTTTGTTCAAGCGAAAAGCCACGCCCCACACGCACACACTGTTCACTCCCTTCCAGTAAAGTGACATCCATTTAGGAGAGATGAGATATCCCATAAGGCCTCAACTGTAGTATGAGTCGTAGATCCTCATCGTCAACACACGTTAGCTGTGGGTGAGAAACACGCCTCAGCTAACGTGCCACAACACAAAAGGATAAAATACTAAAAATAACGCTTTAAAGATTCAAAAAACAAGCAGTATGATGCTAAATATTTTATCCATTTGTTATGAGATCGTGATTGGGGGGAATATAAAAGGGACGGGGTAGACAAAGAAATTCACAACACAAACACCATTGTGGTCAGCTCCTAGCCAAGTCACCAAGTGTGTCCAACCAAAGGTGTTCGTGGTCCTTCGGACCCCAGCTCGGCAATCGTGATGCACCAACTGACGCCAACTTCGAAGTGATGGTTTTCATCATCAGAATCACTATCATAACTATTATCATCATAATAGACGTTAGCTACATGTGGAAGACAGCTGTTGTACCGCAATACAAAGGAAAAATGTAAGAGGCACGCCGCATGAGACACCAGTAACGGATGTGCATTGTTTCGGAGTACTAACAGCTGGCTAGTGTGTCACAAGAGACTTATATTATGCCTTAGAAATGAGATCGTGGTTGGAGGGGACAAAGAAACATCATCATTCATCATCATTATACGCGTCAGCTGCAGGTAGACAACACCTCAGCTATTATGCCGCCATAAAAAAGACAAGAAAAGAAACAAAAGTGGCAGGCCGGCTGAGTCCCCAGTAACGGATGGACTTCGTTCCGGAGAGCTAACAACCGGCTATCGTGCAGCAAAAAAGAGTTATATTACACCTAACGAATGTGATCGTGATTGGAAGGGAGGTTAAGCGGGGGTTGGATGGACAAAGGAACGCACAACACAAACCCCATTGGGGTCGGTTCCTAGCCATATCAGCAAGTGTGTCCAACAAAACGTGTTCATATTCCTTAGGACCCCAGCTGGGCAGTCGGAATGAAACAATCAAACGCCATTTAGGTCAGTTCTTAGCCATGTCAACAGGAGTACCCAGCCAAACGTGTTCATCGTTCTTCGGTCCCCAACCAGGGAGCCGCTTGACCAAGTCATTACTTAGCCTCCCCCTACTCTTCCATCCAGACCCCGGGAGCGCAAACAACGCACGTCGCGGGAGTCGGTGGGCTGGCATGCGCAACACGTGACAAAGTCATCGGAGCTTAAAGCATGATATCATGGTGCTGAGCGGTTCATTCGCCCTTCCTGTACCAAATACGCGACGCCAAAAACATTTATAGCTCACGCGGTGCCCCTACCAGACATGAGCTAAGCAGCGATCGCCGAACGTAACTAGCCTCTTTAAGCCTGTCGACCTGATGGGCCAGGTTTCATAAACGTATAGGAGGGTTGAACGGACGGCTGCATTGTAAACGCTACCCTTCAGCGTTATTATTTCTTATCATACAGATTAGTTACAGGTGGAAGGCACCTCCGCTATTGTGACGTAATACTAAGGGAAAAAGCATGCAACAAAGGCACGCCGGTTGAGTCAGCAGTAACGGATGATCACCGTTCCGGAGAACCCATTACAATGAGGCTAAACTTTATCATGTTGCGATGGTTTGTGTGGCTCAGTGATCCATTGAGCTATGCCGGGTGGTGCTTTTCTGCACCTTCAGAGCTACTCATACCAGATTGGTCAATGGTTAGAGGCCAGACAAACTCAGTCTCCTGGTCCTCCAGGTTGGGGTTGGAATGAGGATTGGTCCTTATTCCTTAAAACGGATTCCTTGTAGCCCAACGCCCAACCCGCTGCCTTGCAGTAAGGTTTTTGAACCAAAGGCTTTGGTTGAGAACCCTAACCGTTCTCCTTTCTAGATCTGGGCAACCTGACTGTATCCTGCCCACGCAATACAATGAATCTCTACAAACAAATTCCTGATGCTCTGGCCACTGCAGTGGATAATCAACGGTGTCCTATGTGCTGCATCGAGCAAGGTGGATAGGGGTTTGGATGCTACTGCTCAAGCCTTCCCGGCTTCTTATTCTCCCTCTTACGCTTTTTCCCAGTTAGGGTCCCGTTCCAACTTCACTTTTTATCCGCCCAGTTTCCAACCCTCCGACTCTTGCCCCCCCCCAACATGCTTTGCTAGGCGGTTTTCATTCTGGTTTCAACTCTCATGTGAAGACGGAGCGTCATTCCCGCCCTGTCGACATGCCCATGTCCAACCAAGCGATCCATCTCAGTTCATCGGCTTCCATTTCGAGCCTTCGATCCTCCTTCAGATTGGTATGCCTTAATGTACTCACACTGCTACAGATCAGTCAATAGGCAGCACTTGCTCGAACTTTAGAGACCCTCTCCATCGGTATCTGCTGCTTATCGGAGACCCGCCTGCAAGACTCGAGCTCTGTGCTCACTCTGCGATCCCCCTTCAGGTGATACCAGCAGTATCTTCTCATTGTGCCTATCCGGTGACAATGCAGCTTCGAGCACTGGCCAAGCTTGTGCTGGTATTGCCCTGAGTCCCCGGGCTGAAGCTGCACTGATTGCTTGGATCCCAGTCAGTAGCCGGATGTGTGCGGTCCAATTGGCTGACTCGTTCAAAGCTTCGAAATCGCGCGGGACTAGTAAGTGTCTATTCATCATCGTTGCCTACGCGCCCACAACTGTAGTCATGGTTCGGTAAAAAACGACTTCTATCGCCAATTGAACGAGCTTCGCCACAGAAGCTCGGACACTGTTGTGCTGGCGGGGGATCTGAACGCTCAGGTTGGAAATTTGTCCACTGATGTAATGCATCTGAGTGGTAAGCACGGTGCAGGCTCCCGTAATGATAACGGTGAGCGGTTACTTCATTTGTGTGAAGATGCCCGCTTATTTTTAAGAGCACTAACTTCGACACATCACCCGCCGGAAGGTGACTTGGCGTCCACCAGACTCGAACCAGCCTTGGACGCAAACTGATCACACTGCAATCAGTTACCGCTGGAGAGGCTGCATCCAGAACTGTCGCTCGATTTGTAGCAGATGTGTGGACACCGACCATGTACTTCTATGTGCTGACATGCGGATGCGTTTTGGTGGACGCGCACGACGACGCTGTGAGCGAATTGACCTCAGCCAACTGACGAAGCCAGCTGTTCTAAAAGCCTATCAAAGTATGCTGACATGCGAGTTGAGTAAGCGCTCACTGGAGACAATTGATGGTCACTGGTCACATGTTCACCAGACCTTACTAGCAACAGGCAAATCCTCATGTGGTAAGTCTACTAGCCAACATGGACATTGGGTCTCTTCGCGGTCTTTGGACTTTATCAATGTTCCGGCTGGAAGCGAACACAATGGAACGCGCAAAGAGCTCCGGGCAAAACTCCGTGCTAGCCTGAAGAGAGACGGCGAATCCTTCGTGCGTCAGAGATGGAAGTCGCCGCTGTCGTTGGTAGCCATTGAAAGTTATTCCGTCTGATACGGGAAACGGGCAGCAGGAGACCTGGTGTTAGTGAAACAATTCGTGACGAGAGTGAACAGCCTAACCACAATTTGTCAAAACGTTTGGAGCGTTGGGCTGAGCATTTTGAAAAGCAATTTAATCGGCCTGAATTATTCGATTCCTCACCGGCCAGTGATCGCTCTGCTCCGTGGGCTGTTCCTTTGGATCCGCCCACTAGCACAAAAATCGAACGTGAGATCGGACTGTTGAAGTTAAAGCCGCAGAACCGGATGATCTCCATTCAGCCCTCTTCAAATACAGAGCCCTGCTATTGTTGGTGATTTACATGAATTACTAGTGAAACCATGGGAGCAGGAAACTGTCCCTACCGACTGGAGCCTCTCCGTCATAGTTCCAGTTTTCAGAGGCTCGGGTTCGGAATGCAGCAACCATAGAAGAATCAGTCTGATCCCCATCGCCTCCAAATTACTTGCCTCTGTAATCCTTTACAAACTGACTGATGCTCGTGAAAGCCAGATTCGTGAGGAGCAAGCCGGGTTTCGTCAGGGTCGCGGCTGCATCGACCACATCTTCACTTTGCGTCAATTATTGGAGCACCGTCACACACATGGGTGATCCACCGTAGTCGTGTTCCTCGACATCAAAGGTGCCTTCGATTCGGTGGATAGATGTGCACATTGGGACTGTCTACTCAGGAAAGGTGTGACTGAGAAATATGGAAACATTAGCCAAGCATTATACGCGCGTAGCTCAGGCAGACTGAGGGCTTACGGTAAGCTGTCGCCGCCCTTCAACATCTCCAGCGATGTGAGATAAGAATGCCCGCTGTCACCTTTCCTCTTCAACTTCGCTGTTGACGAAGTCATGGAAATCGCGTTCACTGGACATGACTTAGAAGACGTGGAGCTACTCCCTGGAGAACGACTTCTTGATTTGGAGTATGGGAACGATATTGTCCTCATCTATGACAGCATCCAGACGTGTCAAGCTGCACTGCACAGATTAGTGCTGGCTGGCAGCCGCTTCGGGCTTTGCTTTGCACCATAGAAATGCAAAGCTTTCCCATAAGATTGACAGGGATCGCCTCCTGCGCTGACCGTTGGTGGGGA